TCACTTCTCGAGCTAACAGATGTATCGTGAACTGATTTCTTTTTTATCAAAGTCATATAATAAAAAGCAGATGAATGTAATTCTGTTTTTCGATAACTAATAAATGAAACTGTTCCCTAGTAAAAATCTTAGACACTTCTTAACATTATCTTACTAAGACCTTATAAGATCTTACCCGTTAAGATTTTGATAAGATAATCTACGATCTTATCGTTTAAGATCTTAATAAGATTTAATGACTCTGCTTTCATTCACCCGTTTGTTTTGCTCTCATCCATCTATATAAGTGACCGAAAATATGAGTGATTATACGCTTATTTTTCTTCCTAGCTCTGCTGGTACGTGCTCTATCGAAAGTGTTCAACAACTTTTTAGAGAGTGTACATGCAGGTCAAGATCCATAGTTGGACACCTGAAAATACGAAATTTCTCTTCATTCTTCAACTTGATTAATGCGGATTAAACCTTTGAAAAACTTGAAATTTTCAGTGAATCTTCGATGAACATTATTTAAAAAACGTTATCGTTCTTACTATTAAGATCCTAATATATTCTTATCGAATCTAGAAAAAGTCTTAGACAGTACAATCTTAGTAAGATCTTAGGATAATCGTATTAAGATCTTAGTAAGATTTCGCTTACATTTGTCTAAGATCTTAGAAAAATCTTATAAAATCTTAGAATTTTCAGGTCTCACGATCTTAGTAAGATTTGTTTAAGATCTTCGACAGATGTAAGCGAAATCTTACTAAGATCTTAACAAGATTTTTCTATGATCTTAGTAAGATTTGAGTAAGTTTTTTACTAAGGTTTAAGTACACATTCTCTTTCCTAACTTGAAAATTTCATCCTTTCGATTTTTGTTTTCAATAAAAAGATAGTTAAGTATTCTCTAGCGAGAATTTTTCATTGTTGTCTGCATCCAGAAATCCAACTTTAGACATTTACCATTTCAAAAAAACACAAGAGCGATGGGCTAGTGTGTTTTTCTTATCATCATAACAGAATGACGATCTGATGGTTTTAGCACTTTCGCATGTGTGACTATCGAACCGAATGAGAGAATTAACTTTTTTGGTCGACATTTTCATTCAGAGAATACTTGCCATATGACAAGTTTGACTGTGAAATATCTGTTGCTCTGTTTAAGAGCTGCTCTAGAAATAATTCCAATCGTTCTATATTTGGACATATGATACCAGTTAAGAGATAGATCATTGGAATTCTTCCGACACTTGTACGTCTTTGTGGCTAACCTAACATGTCTCAATGTAAGGAGAACTCTAACGAAGATATTTTCAAAGTTGAAGTCCTGATAAAATTTAGTTGATGTTACTGTGAACAGTTGTCGATTTATTCAGTTTAACAAGTTAAACAGGACAAAAAAGAGAATCTATTCAATAAAAATTGGATAAATTACGGGTGGAACGATATCGAATCCACCGCTATAAAAAATAGGAAGAAGAATTGTTTTGTTTCCATTTTTGACACGAGTGATAGTAAGTGATTGTTTTTGCGGAAAATGTGAATATTGAAAGTAAGCTGTTTTGGTGTCCATGTTACACAATCCTTGCAAATAGATGTACTTGATGGTTCCCATTCTATGATGACTGTGTCATTACCGTTAATCCGATGTGGCGGAGTTATGAGCCAAACTTCAACGGTTGGGGCTTTACTAAACATAACTTTTGATGTTACCGGATAATATAGAAGTCCAAGCATAAAATCTCTGTAACTGTAGGCTCAAGTTTTCGGAATCAAACAGACTGTCATCTGGTTTGTCCATCGATATAATTCTGTACTTTGTTGTTTCTTGTATCAAAATCGATTCTCGACGTACCGCTCGAGTTGTTCTCAGAGGTATGTCTGTGTTTTTTGCAAAGTAAATTTCTTCACATGGATATTTTTTATCACTATCCACTTGGTACTGTTCATTCGAATACCAGTAATCTTCAATTCCCGAATCATTGTTTGAATGTATCATTTGATATGTAAACTTGATATAATTGTCGACTTTGAATGAACTACTTTTATAATACCAATGTGTAGGAAATTAGTAGAAGACATTGCTACCATACTTCTAAAACGTCTCGTACATACAGCTATTTGATGGGGAAGATACACTTATTTGAACATAATACTTTGATTGTGGTGAATCAGAAATTGCAAATGAAAAATGTTTCATGGCAAATGAATATTCTCGTTAGAGTGGATTTAAAAGAATCGATTCATAAGTTCGCTGATTCAATTCATCGATTGCAATAAATGTTCGACCGTCATCAGGTGGAAATTGCTATTGGTGGAGGAACCAAAGTGAATGTGTCGTATATGGATCGGCGCCCTCTATTGTGCTTTCGAACGATTAAAGCCGCGAGATGTTAGCTAGTCACCTTGGTGAATTATGTAAGAAGATGTCGGACAATAAAACGTTTAGTCCAACTTATAATTGGAAATAAAATTTTTTCGCCGGACAATAAAGTATCTCAACTTCACGTTCGAATTCGATGTGCATTTCAACAATCGAATATTGGGCGTGGTCGTTGCATCCTGAAGTAAAGTGTGAAAGATTAATACGTCTAGATTGTAGAACTTCAAATTCTCTCTAAAATGAACTACAACCACTAGTTTTAAGGTCAGTATGAATCGCTACAGCAGGGGAAGTGCAGAATGATTTTTAAGAAGTAAAAACATTCAATAGGATAGTACATTTAACTGTATTACAAAATTAGACTTCACTGTTTCCAATGAATCGGAAACGAGACATTTGAGTGAAAATGGAGTTTAATTGTGCATAGAAATGTCTGCCTCGAAGAACAGTACGATTGTTATCAAAATAATTATAAGCTTAAGCTGTGTTTCTTATAATTGGTGCATTCATGGCTAGAGCGACCCATTTTCTATTGAGGACTTGCTGACCAGAATGCTCATGTTGCATCTCCATTCGAAAAATCACTGATTATTTTAGAATCTTCAATTTTCTAAAATATGATTTTGTGGACTGAGGCTAAGGTTTGGAGAAGAAGTGTGAATTCGAGCCGAGCATGCTAGCATAATAGTGGTGCTGCAAGAGGATAGAGTAGGGCTAGTATTATAGCACTACCTTTTTTTTTGGGCTTAATCATACATAATTCGATAGCGAATTTCACTCTGATCAAGAATATCTGGTTTTAGTCTTCCCAGTTTACATTATCAGTGAAACAAATCTCAAGAACTTGAAAGATCTCTTTATTCGAAAAACCGCTAACTTTTTTTAAAAACTGAATAACTTCGTTCCACCTTATTTCGAAGCGTGAAACTATGTTTTTCTTATTCAGCGTTGGAAACTGCATGTAGAAAACTGTATTTCACGGTGCAACACCAAAAGATATTTGCTGGGCGCGAAACCGGATCGATATATCTTTGGTTTTGTGACCCTCATCTTGCAAACCTATCGCAGCTCTTTGGTTAACACGTGAAGCCAAGTTTCATACTCCATTCGACTGGCCTTGAAACGTAGAAAAAAAGTATGAATCGCTGTTTTTGAAATTCTTTTTCATTGCTAAGAAAATTTATTTTCTCTAAACCTGAGGTGAAAAAGTCGTAATTCTGTCAGTAATTCCCAATTTTCTCAATCAGAACTCAACTTTTATGCAATACAAGTTTCATATTCGGAATCAGGATCGAAAATTGAGTCGACTGATGTGTATTTCTATCCTATACGAGTACGTTAATGTTTTTCGAATTTTCATGTTGAAAAACCATAGAGATTTTCACCAAAAAATAAAATTGAACTAACAATTTCTGATTCCGAGTATGATATTTGTATTGCATAAAGTTGAGTTCTGATTGAGAAAATTGGAAATTACTGACAGAATTACGACTTTTTCACCTCAGATTTAGAAAAAATAAATTTTCTTAGCAATGAAAAAGAATTTCAAAAACAGCGATTCATACTTTTTTTCTACGTTTCAAGACGAATCGAATAGTGTATGAAACTTGGCTTCATGTGTTAACCAAAGAGCCGCGATAGGTTTGCAAGATGAGGGTCTCAAAACTGTAATAATGTAAACTGGGAAGACTAGAAACCAGATATTCTCGGTCAGTATGAAATTTGCTATCGAATGATGTATGATTAAGCCAAAAATAAAATAGCACTGTAATTTTAAATTTGGAGCACCTTAATATCACATTAAAGTCTCTTGGAAGTCTCTTATACACATGTTCTCTATCAAAATGGGCTCTCCTGGAGAGAGACTATTAAGAGGTTCACTACAGTAAATATTGCAAGATAGAAAAGAAGAAAAAGATAATCAGCAATATTAATTTAATAAAGAAAAGAAAAACTAACGTGAAATAGAGAGGAGCACATATTGAAACCTGAGAATAAGATAGTTATATATAACCTTGCAGAAGCGAGAAAATGATTTTTAGTTTGTAAATATCAAAATAACAAGGAAACTAAAGAAGATGACGTAAGAAAGGACAATATAATAAGTTTTTTCGAAGTGTCATGACGCATGAGGGGATGTCTCAGTGACTCAATAGGTTAAAAGCAAAACAGAGAAAACTGCGTAGGCCAGAAAAAGAGTTCTAACCATACACAGGTAAATAATTTCAGTAGGAAAAAGAATCTGAACACATAAATATTTTCTGTCTCCGTGATGATTGCTCTTTGTTCACTCAACAAAATGTGATGATGTGACTGAGTTAATAACGGACTGCAAATAAGAGCTAAGAGACGAGTACACCGAAAAAGAACAATATCATAAACCGCGTTTCGAAAAATAAAATTTCCTGCAGAGATGGTTTCTAATAATACCGAGAATATTTTGCTGCCAAAAACAGAGAACTTTGGGTTCTTTCGAAAAAACTCCAAAATACAGAACACCTACTACAAGAAGAAGAACGTAAAACTCGAAACAAAGCAGAAAAGCAGTATGTGCTTTGACTTCTCTTACTAAAGAGCTCTAATCTTTTTTTATTTCAGTCAGTCGAACGGTGCTTCTCGTTAGTGTTCAGAAATGTCTCCGACAGTGGAAGTATATTGCAGTCTAAAGAAAATAGCGTCGCTCTTTAAAATCTTTTCTACGTCACAATCTTAAAACAAAATTTTGTAATAATGACACATATTGGTCTCAGTTTAAAAAACCATTCTATATTTCGACATTCAGCAAAGGAAACCTAGAAGTTTTTTCTTTTTCCTCTTTGAACGTATATATCGAATTTCAACCCTGAAATAAACACGCACAGTAAACTTATTATTTAATTACTGTAGTTTTCCACTTTTGCAAAACGTGTTTAAAACTTAAAGTTTATACAGAGAAGGAGAGAGAGAAAAACGATATAATCTCACATTTCATAGACGCAACAGAACTTTCTACGGAAACTATCGTCATCTAACATAAGAATTTAAAAATTCATCAGTGGGATCGTTTGGTTGAAAAAAATGAGTAAACTAAACTATTTCAAACTAACATTCAATGACTTACTAAAGCTGCTATGTGCAGCAACAATTCCTATAGCCTTTGCTGCTTACACAATCGTCACAAATGAACAAAAATCAAAAACGGCTGAACAACGACGTCAGTTTGATCTACGACAGGCAGAAGAACTGAAACAACAGAAGCTCTACAACAAATTCATTAACGATACGTACACATTGCATCGAGATGGCGAATTAGATGAACAAGCTAAACCATGGGCATTTGCAAATACACGTTACAGATCGGCACATCTTCAATGGGATTCCTTGAGAAAAACAGATGTTTTGCACTTTCTCAAAGATCGAGAATTGATCGGGAGAAACAAGTGCCATACAGGATGCGAAGTGAAGTTACTAGAAGACATTATTTATTTGAGCGAATTGAGTTTTGATAATATTCATCTGAGAAGTGATACTGGTAGTTTGGTACAACTGAATTTGAAGTGCGTTCGATTTCAACAAGTTTCGTTGACGAATGCCACATTTTCTTATGTAAACCTGAACGGTGTGTCATTTGATCAGTCACGATTAAATGGTGGAAAATTTCAAGATTCTTCGCTAGTTTGTGGGACATTTCACAGCACAGAATTACGAGGTACAGATTTTGATAATTCAGATTTACAAGGTGCCGTCTTCATTAATGTTGATCTGACAAAGGCTAAGTTAACAGAGAAGCAAACCAATGAAGCTACGTTTTACAATACAACAATGCCAAACGGAACGCTTATCAGCCAGTCGACTACAACTAAAGGTAGGTAAAGATTTTGACTTAATTTTTCTGGATAATAAATCAAGAGCAAATCTATTTTTTGTTAGGCCCATTAACAACGATGTATGTTACAGCAACACCGCCATCTTTACCACCGACAAGTAATTCATGTTTTTGTGATTGCAGAGGTAGAACTAGGGGTGGTAATTTAGTGTTACTTTGGAAAATAAACGTAAATGAATCATTTACACTTAAAAAAATCACAGTAGTAGTTGAAAATAATAAAATCAGTTTAAATCAACTACAGTTAATAACTGTAGTTGATTTAAACTGATTTTATTATTTTCAACTACTACTGTGATTTTTTTAAGTGTAAATGATTCATTTACTTTTATCCATTATTATAAATGAACAATAAAACTAAATTAACACCCCTAGGTAGAACAGATCAATATGTCTTTGTGCAAGTGCAACAACAAACATGCAAATGCGCGTAATTCTGTTTTTTTTTGTTTCAGTTCGTGGCTCAAAGAATTCAGCATCTACTCTTGTTACAGCAGAATCATCGTCTCTAACCGAAGGTAGAACGAGATCTACTTTTGTCAGTAAGATTATTTTTTAAATGTTTTTCTTTTTGCTTTGCTTTTAGCATTTACAATAACAGATGAAATATCGCTAGCAGCTCCCGATCACTATACGACTAGCGCCTCAACACCTCTGACTGCAGGTAGATTTCATGTTATTCAACCTTAGTTTCCCGATCAAAATGGCATCGATTTGTAATTTTTAAATGTTCCGATATTGTATCGGAAAATGCCGGATTCCGATCGGTTCCGACTTCAGAAATTTCCAACCGTATTCAATCGGATAACCGATTCTCGGACGTCTGACAATTTCCGATCGGATTCACTGACCTGAGTATGTGTCTACACGGGAATATAAGGCACATTTTTTTTGCGCCCGATCTTTGACACGTCACATTAAATATTTAATTCTCTTACAGACTGTCCTAACGGTTACACTTTAATTGATTTCGAAAGTTTTACCCATGGTGTTCAAATTCCAGCAGGATATTACAACCTTCAATGGACCAACGCAGTTATACTGAGTGTGGATCCAGCTGACAAGTCTGGCTATCCTGCTGCACTCACAAGCGGACGACATGTGGCCTACAACGGTGGTGGAAATCCCATGATTATCAGTGCTGGTTCATCTGCCATATTCAGTATCAAGTCGTTCGTAGCTGCTGCAGCTAGGCGAAATAATTTGAGTGTCACAATGGAAGGATATCTTTCTGGAAAAATTGTTCACAGTAAGAAAGTTATTTTGCAGACAACATTGGCTGCTGTCATCACGCTGGACTGGAATGGTATTGATAAAATAAGATTTACAACATCCGGAGGCACAGTTGCATTTACTGCCGATGGCAAGATCATTGCAATGGACAATTTGTGTAGCGCTGTAACATAAATTGCACTTTCATACACATGAGTCTTCTTGTTTTTTATGTTTTTGAAAGTTTTGCCTCGTCCCGCTTTGCTCGCTTTCCCTAAACTATGTCTCATCGGTTACAATTGCCAGTTCGCAAAAAACTGAGTCGGAGGACGTATTTCTCGATCTATGTAGTATTAAGCTGAACAAAACGGTGGTTTTCTCACTTGAAATTTACACTGATTACTCCTTACCAACAGAAAAGTGAAAGCTGAATATATACATTTCTTAAATACGTCTTCCTCAACTACTTTGAACAAACAGATTAATTTAAATGAATTTCTAATTTCTGAATTCATTTAAATTCATTTGATAAAACTGGTTTGCACTGAACAAAAGGTTGGAATTGTTAGGCGAAATCAAAAGAATGATCAACGGTCTAATAGGAGAATATATTCGCATGCCGAGCAAAGCTAAAACGCTAGAGTATCTTATTACCGTGTTAACTAATTTGAGTAAAGCAATGATTATAGGAAGATTTATGAACGAAGAAAATTCTTACATCTCGTAAATACGTCTTTTCCATCGTTCCATACAAGATTTTCCTTTAATTTTCAAAATCTGTCTCGTCAGACACGCTCGTTAAAAGCTTAATCAAAAAGCTTTAAAATCAAACACGATTTTCTTTTTGTAACATACAACATACTGCTGTGTGATGCAATGTTTAATCTTCAATTATTTTCTGATGTTGTACTCATTGATACGACATCAAACATATGCATTGCATTTTACTCTTTTTTTAAATCAGAATTGCTATGTGTCCTTGTGTCAGTCAATCAAGGCGGAAACACCGTACTTCGCTAACTCCGTCACTTTAACCGGAGTTGGACGGAGTAGTGGAGTGATCCGGAGTGCCCCTGTAGTGAATGGAGTTTGATGTTTTCGATTGACGTACTTTGCTTTCTCAAATTCTCTTTCATTTGTAGCATTGTTTAGCTCCCAATGCTCCTATAGTTCCTAATGTTCCCATAATTCCCAATTTTCCCATAGTTTCTAATGTTCTTATAGTTCCTATAGTTCTCAATGTTCCTAGGATTAGGAACATTAGAAACTATGAATTAGAACTAAAATATAAAATTTGAAAATCTATCTATCACTTGCTTTCTACTGAATAAAAAACAATATCAACAACAAGAAGTAAAATGTTCTTAGTTTTTACTGCTATATTTCTTTTCTTATCCATCCCTGCTATTCATAGAAGTGATAGTTGCAAACCAAATATGTATGTCACGTCCAATCGTAGTGGAATATTCACAGTAAAATCAATATGTAAATCATCATCATTTTATATTACTGTCCATCCAAAAAGTCGGTGCGTGTGACTATTTTTTGAATAACTCGGCATCAAATAAAGATAGAGACTTGCAATTTTCACCATTCGATAGCTAAGACTTGAGGCTATCTTC